ACGTATAACTTCTGTAGATTGGACATAATTCATATTCGAGGTCCCTATAAAAATGGTTCATTCATTATCATATTTATCAATATTCAGAAATTGATGTTTCAAGAATCATTTAAGATTCGAGTGTATTAATAAGGTACTCAGGAATCTTTACATCAAAAATTTTTAAGATCTAGACATAACATGAGTGTTTTCATTATTCAGGCAAATAGAGGTATTTCGGATATTTTAATTTCTGATGGATTCTTAGTAGGTTAATCCAATAAAGGTGAAACAATAATTCATGGTATTTAAGATTCACATCGATTTATCAGTATCTCGAGTCATCTTGAACTGAACAAATCCCAGTTGTGATATATGTCAACCAGTTAAATCGATACGCTTCAAGGATATTCATACTTTAATACTAACAACACTAGTCGAGCTGATCATCTTCAGAATCATCGTTGAATGGATCTTACAACAGGTATTCCAATGATATTTATTTCCTTTCTGTATTGTAACAGTATCAAGAAATGTCGATGAGCTTGAGTCGTGGTTTAAAACCCTTAAGGATGATACAACATATAAGTTCATCAGCGTTTCCAGACTTGTCCAAGTTGTCCGCTTAATTCTAGGTCATTGAGGGCACTTGGATCAATTAGCATTCCATTTTATCCCGATCACTTCGGAGTTTTCAGGGTAATTCGATCGTTTTAACAATTCATATACGTACAATACTTCCATTTAGTTCAATTTTTTCATGTAATATAGTCATTTGAATATCAACGGTTATTTTAGTTATTTCGCATTTTAATGACATTTCAGTAATTTCTTTCAATCCAAACATATACATTTTTTCTGATAATTGGTCAACTATGTTCTTTTCTGGGTTATTTTTCACAATCAGGGGAAATCTTGGTCTTTTTACAATACAAGGGCATTTTGGTTAAATTATAATTCAATGATATTCCAGTCATTTCCTTCCATCCAGTCTTTCCATTTAATTCAATTTTTATGAATAATTAAAACATGAATAGTACTTCTAATATTTTAGTCTTTAGGTGCTTGTTGATAATCAACAATTATAGGTCTTGTACCTTCTCTAATGTTAGGATCCGATTATCAGTGACTAACCGAGCAGTTCGTGAATTTAACAGATGAAACAATGATTTATCGAATTAAAAATACGAATTCTCAAGGTACTTTCGCTCTCAGGTCAATCCGGGCCATTTTTACCCCATAGGGGCAATTTCATAATTTTATAATCAGGTGATTCTGGTATTAAACCTTTTTAATGAAAACAATTAGAATTTAGTAATTCTGAGGTTGATTGCTTTATCGGTTAATCACTGAACCTTAAATTATTTATTATCAATCTTTAGTGTCTTATACATGTAATCTGAGTCTTATCCAGTTTAATTACTTTTCATCGCATTTGGAACGAGTTTAGAAATATATTTATTTCACACATGTATCCAAACATATTCGTCTATGCATTAACCATTGCCAACATGCTCTATAAAGCATTCATAAGGTAGTAATGTATTACATCGATTTACAAGCCATATCAATCAACCATTTAAACTCTATTTGATCACCCTTGAACTTTAATTCCACGTCCCATAATGTCTCAGATACATAGCAAACGAATTTATGTCAGAAACTGAACTTAATCGAAAAACTAAATTAAATCCAAAAATAAAACACTGAAAAATGGCTTACCGAGTACGAATTTGGCAAAACGAACTTCGAATTCAAACTCAAGATGTCAAAAACATAAAATATGACTTTTTAGAATTTTGACTTTTTGGGTCAAAGTCAATGGTCAACGGGTTTGGGTTGACTTGGTCGGGTCAAACAGATCGGGTTTAGACCGGGTTGGTCGGTTCGGGCCAGTCTAGACCATTCCAGAAGAGACCAGAGCTGAGGGACAAGCCCCAAGTGCACCCGACTGCGCGTGCGGCGACGATAAGGGCCAATTACTCCACAAGCTGTATGTAAACATATTATTTCCAAATTACCCCCAAAGTCTAACCAAAATCATGACAGAAACAGATAAAAAGGGTAGTCGGAACCTTACCAACGACGACAGGAGAAAACATGATGGTGGGAGGCAACTTGGGTCGGGTTTTGTGCGGAACAAGCAGGGAAACACAAAACTTATCAAATTTGAATGAATGACTATATTTACAGAAGTATTATGCTGACAACTAAGATTTATCCCCTAAAAGGTTCCCATGGATATCCAAGCTGAAACATAAAATGAAAAACTAGAACCTAGAATCTACCCCAAAACATTAGAATTTGTTAAAACTAATATCATATCAATATGATTTATAAAATTATGGGTGGTTTTAGTTTTCTATTATACTAATCAGTTATGTAAAACAATTGATAATGAAGTCATTAAACCTAAATGAAAACTACCCAACGCATATGATAAAGGCATCACATAAGATGCAACAGACTAATATTATATAGGTTGTTACTCTTGATCAACAGTAAATAGGAATTAGCTTGTTTCAATAAAAATTCTCATACCAATTCATAGATTCAAAAGAAAATATTTCAGTGAGGATGCATTTTTGTTACTACAACACCATCATTTCATAACTAAGGAAAGTATGACCAATCAACACAATTTCACCCCCTCCCCTTTGTTTTCTTCGTCGTCTTCACATTTGAATCGTCGAAGGAAAGATAACGAATATGAAAACAACCCAAACCTAAATGTTCAGAAGCAAATCAATGGGAATAATAACAGCAATGATAAAAAAAGGCAACGACCGAAAACAAGCAAGAAAGACAAAATTCAATCTGAGATCTGAAATCATAATCCGAAAAAAAGAGAGAGGGCATTGCAGTTTTTGCCAGAGGAAGCAAAAATGATAATTCAAAATAGAAATGACACCTGTCAACTAAAGAATGAAGTCTTTGAGATTCGCTTGACCTAAAGCTCCCCTAGTAGCAGTGGAAGAGACAGGCGAATTAAAGACAACTGAATCCAAATGTGATGACCGCCGGAGCTATTAGATTCAATGGTAGCTTTGGGCTTCAGCGGGGAACGACAGTAATAGAGCAACAATCGAGAGGCAGTTTTATTTTGGGTAGTGACAGAGGTAGAAGAAAGGGAGTGAGAGCGGCAGAAACCTTTGAGAAAGTAAAGGGAAAAAAAATGAGAAAGATGTAAACTGTGAGATAATAAAAGACACTAAGGTACTAAAATATTAGTAAGTTTAATAGAAGACACCACTATATATTTACTCCATTTCGGCGTTTGTCTCAAAAACACAGTGAAGTATGAGTTTGTAGCGGTATTTGTGTAAAAATATCGCTATATATTTAATCTATTGCAGCATTTGTCTAAAAAACACCGCGAAAGTACGAGTCTTTAACGGTGTTTGTCTAAAAACACCGTTAATGTTACTATTTTGTGACGTTTTAATGATAAACAGTGTGATATATGTAAAATTAGTGGAATTTTCTATCAAAACGCCGCTAATAATACTGCTAGCCATTGCTTGCCGTCATTATGGAGGTTAGCATTTGTTTTGTCTCCTTTCATTGAAAAAGAAAAAGTTTTAAAATTTTTAGTTAATCATATTGAATTTTTTTTGTTCTCATAGTTTGGTAAGAATTTTACCGATTTCGTCTCTATAATTAAATACTTTTTAGCTTCTTTTGTCGGTCTATTGTTATAACCATTTTTTTTTCAAATTATGTAGTTTACCTTTTTTTTTATTAATCTACAAGGACTACAACTGATTGTATCCGTTTTAGAAGTTATCAATCATTTGATAATGAATATTCAAATACTCTATAATCGATGGTGCTCGAACCCGAGACTTCTAGAAATAACAAACATCCTTTTAACAATTGAAGTATGCATATTCTATTTTTTACGTGTAATTTGTGTTTACAAATGATATAGTTCATATTAATGCAGCAAATATTTAGTTTTCTTGCCTTACAAACTACCAACATCGTATACATTAGGTATTTCCATCGTTCTACATGTTAGTCTAAATGTTAGAATTTTAAGCTTGAACCTGACATGAAAGTGTTTGAAAGAAGTGGATTTACCGCGTTTGTTCGAAAAACGCCACTAAAATAATAGTCTTTAGCGGCATTTATATAAAATGCTACTAAATCAGCGCTTTTTGCAAAACGCCACTAAAGTATAATATTTAGCGGAGTTTATAATCAAACATCACTAAAATACGAGTCTTTAGCGGTGTTTGTAAGAAAACGCCACTAATGTACAATATTTAGCGGCATTTATATAAAAACGTCACTAAAATATGTTATTTACTAGAGTTTGTTCAAAAAACGCCGCTAAAAATATCACTATAAACCCATTTTGCTGTAGTGGGGTCACATTTCAAACGTGTTTGTATTTATCATATAGACAACTTAGATTTAACGTACTAGAAAAAGATAATCTTATTAAATTTTAGTGAACTATTTGTATTCTAACATGTTAAGTCTAAGTTATCCATGCATTAAATACACACATTCAAAACGTGATCAATATGTCCAACATATGTTTCACATCATGCCTCAATTAGAATTTAATTTCCAAACTCAAACGCTTCAAGATTTGAGAACTCGATTAGAATGGTTTGAGATTTGACACCATAGTGATACTTTGAGGTCTCGATTGGAACGTTTCAAAATTTAAGAACCAATTCAAGATATAAATTATAGTTAAGGACTTGAGTACAACTTCATGTAATATTGTTGTGTTGAGAGTTTTTTAACTGCAAAAACTATCGTGTGTAGATTATGCATTATCTTAAAATCATTTATTTTACTATTAAAATCCAATTCCAACAATATGTTGTAAAACGGAGATATGTGTATTTACTATTTACCCTCATTACATCATTAATTTAATTGGAAATTAAGGAGTTTTGGCTATCGTGTTTAATGGTTAAAAAGGAAAACTGAAAGGAGTTGGGTGTAATTTGACCAAAAAAGAATCTGAAAGGTAAGTATAAATAAAGCTGGTTTCTCTTTCTAAAGCTGGCATGGCCTGCTTTCGCTGGTTTTAGGAGAGGAATTAAAGGAGGGATTTGCTTCCATTTCAGCTATCAAAAACGACACTTGTTTTCATTCCTCTCCGTCTCCATTCTTTCTCCCAAATTCTTTCCTTTAGGTTTAGGGTTTCTCTCTCCCCCCCCCCTTGGCATTGCAGTGAAAAGCTATAAATCCAGCTCTTCCGTTTTTTTCTTCTCCAGGTAATCGGAAATTTATTTATTATTTTATATGCATTTCCCGTCATTTGGGCGATTTGATTAGCGGATTAAGATGTATCCCTTTTTATGTTTTAGGTAATTCTGATTACATTTTATGTTTGTTTGTTTGCTTATTTCGGTTCGGTTATCGAGAACTTTAAAAAGCTTCTTCCTCTTCCTGCTATTCTCAATTTTTGAGAATGAAAAACAAATGCATAACTTTAGTTTAATGGGAAGCAATTACGTGAGAATGGGATTCCTTATCATTTTATTTATTTGCTTTTGTCGTCTGCTTTTACCTTGTTTTTTTTTGGGTGGACCATTCATTTAGAGATTAGACAAAGTTAACAAGCCAAAGGTGTCTTACATTGTTCTTTTTTGGTTCAATATTTTTTTTAACGATGGGGATTAGACAACATTGCGTTTAACTAATCTGCGAATGGATTGAGTTCAATTTTTTAGTTCTTTTGAATTTGGTCGTTCTAAGTTTCATGTATAACAGGTTCAAGCTAAAATAAGGCTAGGGTTTAACGTGATGGATCAGTTTTGAAAAAGTTGAAGTTGTCATAGTTAGTGGCTTTTAGTTTGACTCTTTTGGGTGATTCTTTTTGTTTAGGATTTGCAATTTTAGGCATAAAAAATGAGATCAGAAAGTGCAGAAGATGTTGCCTTGAAAAGTGCAGAGCCCCCTGATCCTGATGTTCTCGAGATTGACCCAACCTCTCGATACATAATGGTAACCTTATTTTTTTTTGGTAAGGTTATTTTGAACTTTATACCAATTTCTATTTGGTTATTGTGGGAGCATGCGGAAAGGACAGATACAGAAGCACTTAATAATGCTTTGTAGCTAATTATTAAAGAAAAATCTGCATTGAAGCATCTTGGACTTTTGTTTTGTTTAAAATGAATTGAGTATTAATTCTGAACTTAGGAAATAGTGTTATTTGTAGTTTATTCATTTGATTTGCTTTTGTTTAGGAAATTTGATAATTTCAGTCTATTTTGATTTTCTTGTTATGATGCTTTCTTTCTATGACCAAACTAAATTTTCTTCTGTTGACCACCATTGTTTCACCTCATTGACTGATATGAATTCTAACAGTATAATGAAGTAATTGGAAAAGGTGCCTTCAAGACAGTGTATCCTTTTCCTATATTATATCGGAGGGATTGGATTATTATCGCTTTTTCTTTACTAGCATGTGTGTGTTAACAATTTGGTTGATAAGAAATGCTATAAACAGAAACGAGCAAATCATTTTTTAGTTAAGAGTTAAATCTTTTCCCGATAGGCTTTCCTTGATTTTATAACCAATCAGATACAAGGCATTTGATGAGGTTAATGGAATTGAAGTGGCATGGAATCAAGTCCGGATTGAGGAGGTTCTACAGAAGCCTGAAGACTTGGAGAGACTGTACTCTGAAGTTCGACTCCTGAAATCACTGAAGCATAATAATATTGTGAGGTTTTACAATTCATGGATTGATGATAAAAAGAAGACTGTCAATATTATAACTGAGTTGTTCTCCTCAGGAAGCCTCAGGCAGTATGTTTACTCCTCTTATCATATTTCTGCTGAAATCCTTTCTTTTACTTTATGGTGAAATGAGCCTTGTAGTTAGTGTGTGTGATACGTGATTTAGGTATCGTAAGAAACACAAGAAGGTTGACATGAAGGCTGTGAAGAGTTGGGCAAGACAAATTTTAACTGGTTTAGTTTACCTACATAGCCATGACCCACCAATCATACACAAGGATTTGAAGTGTGATAACATATTCATTAATGGCAACCAAGGTGAAGTTAAAATTGGTGATCTTGGGTTAGCAACTGTGTTGGAGCAATCTAATGCCAAAAGTATTATTGGTATATTTTCCGTTTCCTGTAGTTTCTTTGTATGTTTATGTTCATCGGATTGTGGTATACCAATTGTCTTGATTTGTATTTATGTGGATCTATCCTTGTTTTTGGTCACCAATTCTACTCTTTTTTACGGGATAGGTACCCCTGAATTTATGGCACCTGAGTTATATGATGAGAATTTCAATGAACTCGTTGATATTTATTCCTTTGGAATGTGCATGCTGGAGATGGCGACTTTTGAATATCCCTACAGTGAGTGTAGAAACTCAGCTCAGATATATAAGAAAGTTTCGTCTGTAAGTTCTTTTACTTTATCTTGTAAATGCCGGTTAATCCCTAACATTTGCAAATACCTTACTCCGTCAAAACTTTATAGGGAATTAAACCTGCTGCACTCTCTAAGGTTAAAGATCAAGAGATGAAACTATTTATTGAGAAGTGTTTAGTTCCAGCATCTCAAAGATTATCAGCAAAGGAGCTTTTAGTGGATCCCTTTCTTCAAGCTAATGGATTGGCAAAGAGTCGTCCTTTCTCACTCCCTGACATTGTTATGCCCAAAAATGGAGCTTTTGGAGATCGCTGCCTCATGTCAGAAGCACCTGCTTCCACACGGAATAGACCATCCTCTTTGGATCTTGATAGTGATACTGAGCTGCCTGTTATCAGTTTTCTTGATAATTCCTTGGATGTTGAGGTGAGGAGGACTAACAAAGGTCACCTTTTCTTGTTAAAAGGCGAAGAAAATGATGAAAATTCTGTATCATTAATCCTTCGAATAGCTGATCAGAATGGTAAACTGATAGTCCAACTGGAAGCAACTCCACTTTCATTTACACTCTTTACACTTGTACATTTGTTACCATGTCTTTTTTCTGCTTACGTGCAGGTCGGGTGAGAAATATTCATTTCCTCTTCTTCCTCGATAGTGATACTTCCCTCTCAGTTTCAAGTGAAATGGTAGAGCAACTGGAATTAGAAGATCAGAATGATATGTTCATAGCAGAATTGATTGATTTACTGTTACTAAATCTGACTCCCAATTGGAAACCTCGTGTTTCCATTGATCATCTAGTTCCTCCAGCTAGAAGAAAAGCTTCAAGAGATCATCAATACTCACAAGGGCAGACTTCCTTGGGGGCTTCCCAACATACTGCTGAAGCCACCACAGTAGGTCCTTGGTCTGTGGAAGTTAATGGAAAAACATCTCATGACAAGTTCATGGCAGATGATTCAGCTTCCGAGATGTCATTTACTTCTGCAAACTCGTACGAGTGGAACGATAAACTTAGCTCCGTCCATTCATTCATGTCTGCTGAATTAGGGTCTGTGTGCAGTAATGGACATGGCTTCAAAACAAGTTCAAGCAGATTGTTGTCTGAAGCAGAATTATCATTCCATGTTGAGAGCATGTCGAAGTACCCAGAATCTTCTTCCCCTACTTCAGGTGCGGTAGAAGATGAGGAGTTAAGGGTGGAGCTGGAAATGATTGAGTTGCAGTATGATGAGGAAATGAAAGAAATATCAAAGAGAAGACATGAAGCTATCATGGGCACGAGAAGAAGATTGTCCAAGAAGAATATGGATTCAGTTCACTAGTCCAAATATATATAAAAGAATGTGCAAATGGCCCTGCAAGTGTACATATTTTATTACTGGGCAGACGATCTCCTTTTCCTCCCCCTCCTTTTTTTCTTGCTGGAGTGGAAGAGGATGTGAAATGTTAATAAAACAACTTGTCAAGTTTGTTATTCATTTTGCTTTATACACTTGAAAATGGAGTTTAATAGATGACAAAAAAATCAATTATTTGAGTTATAATAAAATGATGGATTAATGCAAAAATAAGTCTCTAACCTATATTCTAAGTTAATTTTAGGTGCATACAGAATTTTTCGTTAAAAATATGTGTTTAATGTTTCCAACATTACATTGTTAAAATTTAAAAAAAAATTAATTAAATCAAATTTTATTCACACTCATATTGTTGAATATATAATAATTATTTGATATAGTATATATCAAATTTCCTTGGAAATTACCTGTGATGAAGATTAATGTATAGGTTCCTTTTATTATATTTTCTATCCTTCATATTTTATACAATCTTTTTCTTGGGGTTGATTTAATCTCTACTCCTAAAAGCCTAAACCAAGTTTCAATCATGTGATGAATATCCACTGTCATCTGTATGGTGTGTAGATAATTGGTTGGTTCATTGTTAGTAATTTATGATCGAACATAAAAAGTTAAATACTATTGACATAACAATGACAGGAACAAAATATGAAAACACTTTAAACATATTAAAAGAAACGAAATTACCTGAACCACAGATTAAAGAGTATGTAATCATCTTTACTTGTTGTTACAAGAGGAGAAGAAGAAGAAGAAGCAATCTATTCCTTCTTTGAGTATAGGATAAGAGAGTTACCAAAATAAACGAAAACAGAGGCAGGTGAAATAATTAATAAACATCTTCTGTATACACAAGGTTGCTCTCATACATTTACAATTTTGCATATAAATCAGATTAAGAATGCAGACAGTAAGCCTCACTCACCTCTTGGTCTCCAAAAATGGACTGATTCATTCAAGGTGTTGTGAAACTTTGAAGGCCAAGGTCATTGTGCTTCCTTGAAGGAGCAGAAGAAGCGGGAACAGTGAAACTCTTGTGCCTAACAGTGGGCAAGGATCCCAAGAAGTGACCTGTTGCTGAGTAAACAGATTTTGGCTTCACTTTCGAAACCTCGGTTGAACCATGGCTGCGGGTAACAATCATCAACAACAATAGCCAGAGAAGTAGGATTCTGGTATGAGCCATGATGCAGCTGAACGAGCAAAAGCTGGAAGGAGAGAAAAAGAAGCTTAACTTCAATGGTTTTGATGAGCAAAAAGGTGGTAAGACAGAGAAAGCAAGCCTCACTATTATTACATGGGACAAAATTCTTCAATTCGGATCCCATATGAATATTACTTATTAAATATGCTATATTACTTTATTGATTCACATGATATAATTTTATCTATCGGAATATAATTTCAAAAAGTAATATTATATTATTTGATTTTAATTTATTTGATATGAGTGTAAGAAAATAATATTTACTTTGAGGAATATAAAATTAGCTGAAAGAAATTTTATTAAATTAGTCATATATCTTCTTTTTAGTAATTTATATTTTTAATATTAAATTAAAAGTATTTATATAAAAATTCTCTTTCTCTTTTTTCGCCTTTACAATTTGTGTCAATTTTATTGATTAATCCAACTTTCCTTTTTAATTTGGTTTAACCGACGGCGGCACCTGTTTTAATGTTGGTTGCTGCCCACCAGTTATCTTTTTTTTCTTTGTTTTTTTAATAAGAATAATTATGTCTTTGTGACATGTTCTTTGCCTTTATGATACGTTTATATTTACCTTTGTGGAATGTTTTATCTACCTTTTGGTAGCTTACGGTTTTTTACTGTTGTTTACGGTTTTTTGTCGTTGTTTTTGTTTATCGTTTTCTCAGGGTTGGATTTGATATCACCACAATTAATCAAGATGCTTATTTGTAATCATGATGATCTTCCCTACTTTGGAACCTCGAATTGATTTGGATACGCGTTTTGCGATCATATATAGTTTTCTCATGTCGCTTGACTCTTATTTGCGGTTTGTTGGTGGTCTTTAAATAGCTTCATCCCTTTTTTTAGTTCGTTTATCGATGTAGTTAGATTTTTTCGTATCTTTATTTTATTCATGTTTTTTGTTAGGTTTTTTTTATCTTTTTCTTTCTTTGGTTCTTATGTGATCTAGGTGACTAATTTCTCTCTCAATGGTAATAGGAAAATATCATAATTATATTTTAGGTTTACGGTTATGCTTTTAAATCTTCATTTTAATTTGTATATTAGAAATGTTTTTAAAAATTTCATAAGCAAATAATTATCTAAGTTATAAAAATTTGATTTAGAATTGAAAATTCAATCCTAAATGAAAGTCAATTTCTTTTCAACAAATGTCAAAAAAACATATATATTTTTCCACTTAAAGAACCTAAAAGTAAGATAATTTTAAAATTTTGAGTTTTATTAAGTTCATTGTCAAATTAAATTTGAGTGAATTTAAGTAAGTTAGGATAGTTTTATTGTTATATGTTTATAAGTTAAACTCTCATATAAAAAAAATAAAGTTTAAAGTTAAATTAAATTTAAGTTATCTTAATTAAATTTATGTTATGAATTTTTTTTATAAATTCTAAATCTAATTTTAATCTTATCTAGAGGGGAGGGGAATGGGAGGACTCGAGGGATAGGAAGGGGAATGTGTTAGGAAAACCATGTTATTTCTCACATGAACAAAATTTTAAAATTGATCTAAAACATCAAGATTAAAACTGTCGAAATTGCATAGCAGACAAACCTGTCAAACTATTGAATATTAAAACACAATGGAAAAATCCAACATTGAACAATAATGAAGAGAAATCGCCAAATTTACGAGGTTTAACAAAATATCATCTACTCCTCGAGCACTACCAATAAATGATAACTTCACTATCAAGAAAATATTACAATAAAATGAAATTCCTTATAATTCCCAAAGTATTACAAACAGAAAGAATAGAGAAAAAAAATGGGAGAGATGATTTTTTGGATGATTTCAAATGAAAATGCTTATGCTTATTTATAGTTGATTTCTAAGGACCAACTTACAAATAACCTAATAGTTTAGGTACAAAATATGAATTTTCTCATGTACAAAAGTTGGCCACTTGTCGACTTGAATCATCTTGCCAATATTTGGTGTCTATCATAGCCACTTGTCAACTTGAATTTATTTTTTTAGCAGTAAATTTAAACTTGAATTCTTTAGTGGTAGCAAATTGAAACTTTGATGTTTACTAAAGTTGACCAACATGTTGACTTTCCAACTTGTAGGCTTGTAAAATTACATGCCTCACATATAATAAATCTCCACCTTGTCTTGAAACTATCAAGCCTACTCAACTTCTTAAACTCCCTAAATCTGATGAAGCTATCCTTATGTAGTGCCTCTAATTGCAGTCACAAATGTCGTACACCCGAGGATGTTAGGATTTTTAGGATGTTAATCCAGTTCAAACAATGATTGAACTTGATTACTGTTATCACTTTGGTCATTATATCTGTAGGATTTTCTACCATCACAATCTTTTGAAGTAGAACTTTTCATTCTTTAAGGATCTCACGCACAAAGTAATACCTCACGTCGATATGCTTAGTACTTGAATGCTAGACTTGATTTTTCGAAAAATGAATAACGCTCTAACTATCACAATAATGATTAATGTGACTTTGAACTACTCCCAAGTCCTCTATCAACCCGTTAAGTCAAATTACTTCATTTACAGCCTCTAAAATTGTCTTGTACTCTGCTTATGTAGTAGATAAAGTCATCGTAAACCGTAAAGTAGACTTCCAACTTATTAAGGCATTAGTAAGAGTAAGTAAATACCAAGTAATTGATCAATGCTTGTCCAAATCACTAGCATAGTTGGAATCAACATATTCAATCACAAATAGACCAAGTGTTTTATCATATGCAAAAATTAAACCAAAATCTACAGTTTGTTGGAGATACCGTATAATTTATTTCACAACTTGTCAGTGTTCTTTTCCAGGATCATGCATGTAACTACTCACAACTCCAACTACATGTGAAATGTCAGGGCGTGTACACACCATCACATACATCAAGCTCTCAATTATATAACATATGAAATTTTTTTCCATATATTCTCGTTCTTCATTAGTTTTAAGAGACAACTGAGAACTAAATTTCAAATGAGAAGCAAGTGAGATACTTACATATTTGGTTGTTTCAGTTATGTTAAAATATTGTAATACCTTTTTAAGATATTGCTTTTGAGTCAAACATAGCTTGCCTCTTTGTTTATCTCTATTTATCTTTATACCAGGAATCAAGGAATCATCTTGGTCTCACCTAAATCTTTCATCTCAAACTTTTGATTCAACAAAGCCTTTAATTTGTCTATCTCATTTTGACTATTCGAAGTGATTAACATACCGTTAATATACAAAAAAGATAAATAAAAGATCCATCTTATATCTTTTGCAAATACACAAAATGATCGTATTTGTTTTTGGTGTACTTTTAGTTCCTCATAAAGCTATCAAATAGTTTGTACCACTACCTCGGTGATTACTTCAATCCATATAGTGATTTGTTCAGTTTACAAACTCCTTTCTCACAAACACCATCTTTGTATCATTCTGGCTGAGTCATATAGATATATTCTTCTGAATCATTATGTAAGAATGTCGTCTTGAAATTAAGTTAAGCTGGTTCTATATTCAACAATGCTACCAGAGGCAATGATATTCTAATGGAGGAATGCTTCAGAATAGGAGAAAATATTTCATTATAGTTGATTCCCTCTTTTTAAGTGTAGCCTTTAGCTACTAATCTTGTCTTGTAGAGAACATTTTTTTTTGCTAGGAGATTCATCTTTCTTTGTTAATAGCCACTTACATCCAATTACTTTTTTATCTTTAAATAATTGCGTTAACTTCCAAGTGTTGTTCTTTTGGAGAGATTGTATTCCTTCATTTATGGTATTTTTTTACTTGTCACTTTCCAAGCTTTCTATTACTACTTGGTAAATGATACTGATATCATCATCAATAACTGGAAGAGTATAGGTTATCATATCAACAAATCCA